ATCGCGGTTCAACACAGTGTGAACGATAGAACAGCTAGAAAGAATTGTGGACTTCTGCATGGTGGAGATGATTCTTTCCGGGTTGTGAAGTTGAAGATTCTTAAGGCTTTGAACAAGGTTTACGTCTACTAGGCCATTACAGGTAAGTATTATTGGTAATATAAAAGTCTTGCTCAAATCGTATATGGCTTTTAGTTCTTGTGCCAGTGCTTAATATTTTGTGATTTTCTCTTTTCTTGCATTTTTTATATTTTCGTCTAGTGGTATTGTGATGTCCAGCAGGTAAGCATGTTTTTGTTTTTTATAGAAGACTACTATATCAGGTCTATTATGCTGCACAGTACGATCTGTGATGATGTCAGTATCCCAGTATACTTTTACGTTTTCGGTTTCTATTATTTTTTCCGGTAAGTATCTGTAGTATGGTGTAATTTCATTTAAAAGATTTTCTTTTTTGCAGATTTCTTGGTGTAGAATACCAGCCACCCGGTTGTGCCTGTCTAGATAATGCCGCGGTGCAAGATAGGTACATCCAGAGAGATGTGTTGGATTGTTTCCGGAAAGGCATTGCATAGTCGGCATCTGTCATTAGGTAAGTCCTTTTTGGCTATTATTTTTAGGAAATTTTTAGTTGGTATTTGCTGGTCTTGTATAGCTATAATAAATCCTTCAGTCTCAGCTCTGAGAAAACGTAAATACAGATTTCGGTCAACGTCGGGGTTATATAAGTTGGATGGATATCTTCCGTGCAAGACTTTCCCTTTCCACTCTTCGGTTAGTTCCTCAGCACCCCTAGTACCTGCAGGTAATCCTTGATCTGCTAAGTTTAAAGGTGTGAAACTCCTGTCGGCGGTCTTAATAGCTGAAAGGAAAGGGTCATTTGATTGGTCAAAGTAATGCTGCAGACTTCTGATGTGCTTTTCATGCATAGCAATAAGACTAATAATTCCTCTTCCACCTTTGTCCCTTGGCATGTAGAGTCTAATGGTTGAAGCATGGGGGTGGTGCATTCGGTGCCTTGTCATTGATGTTCTGACTTTCCTATCGAGAGATTCCAGGTCGGTTTGTGACCATTTTAGAACTCCGAATGTATTAAGAATTACAGGTGCTGCCCACACATTGATCGCAGCTATTTTATTCTTCGCATGAAGCTCTGCTCCCAAGACTTTACAAACCTTCTTCATAAATGCATCCTCTGTAGTCTTCTTTATTACTCCATCATCAATTTTTAGAGCTTGATGGATATCAAAATATTTGTAGGTTTCACCCAGATGTAACGGTGAGAATTTTATGTCGGTAGTTAAAATAATCTCGTTAGATTCTTGGATTTTCCTTTCTTTACAGTGCAAGAATGCACATCTTTCCATACCGAATCCATATGAACAGCTTGGCTGAAGGATGCTACAAGTTCCATTTGCCCTTTAAGTTGTTCTGGGTTGCTCGCGTAACATTTTAAATCATCCATGTAAAGCAAGTGGGAAATCTTTACTTGAGGATTATTCTTCACAGCATAGTCATATTTGCTAGACTTAAGCATGAAACTTAGTGGGTTTATGGCCATGCAAAACATTAATGAACTTAAGCTATCACCTTGGAATATCCCTCTTCGGACTTTTAATGGTTTGCTTTGATAGCTGTCCCCTGAGGAAGTAACGAGAAGAGATGTTTGCCATTGCTGCATTAAATATTGAAGAGTTCTGACTATTGAGATATCTATCTTGTAGATCTCTAGAATTTTAAGTAGCCATGAGTGTGGTACAGAGTCGAACGCTTTCTTGTAATCGATCCAAGCGATAGATATGTTTCTTTGGTTTTTATATGCTTGCTTTCCGATTACATTATCAATTATAAGCCACTCTGTACTTCCTCTAGACCCTTTTCGGCTGCCATTTTGTTCTCTTGCCAGTATATGGTGATTTCTTAGGTGTTTTGATATTGATTTTTCGAATACAGACGTGAAAATTTTATATATGACTTGTAGGCAAGTTATTGGCCTGAAGTTTTTGGGATCATCAATAAATTTATTTTTAGGTATCATATGCGTGATGCCCATGGTGAAAAAAGCAGGTATTGTTTCAGCGGGATATTTTATTGCTTGGGTCAATTGTATTGCCAAGACTGCATGGATATTTGTGAGGTGCTTCCACCAGTATGCCTGGATTTTATCAATTCCGGGTGCTTTCCAGTTTCCTAGTGAGCTAACGGCCTGTTTAATATCGTTCTCTGTTATCTGGATTTCCTTCATTTTAGGTAAATCTTGCGTGCGGTGTATTCCTTCTTTAATCCAGTAAGCATCTTGATGTTCTTGCTCATTTCCCCAGATGTTATTCCAGAAGTGATACATTTCATCAGCTTTAACTAGCGTCCTATCTGGTTCTTCTTTTTGGGTGCTCAGTGCTCTGAAAAACAACTTCTGGTTGGTAATAAATTGTTTATTTTGTTTGCGCCGTTTTTCACTCTCATTGTATCGTCGCAAACGACATCCTAATGCAGCTATTTTTTGTTTCAGGTTGTCCATGAATTCTCTTAGAATACGAACGGAACCAGCTTACAATTTATTTTGTCGGATTATGTCGTTTACTATTCGTTTGGTTCTGTTCGACTTTTGTTATTATTATGAAATCTAATTTACTGTATTCTCATACTTGCTTTTGTATATAATATATTGCGATTTCCTAATATGCAGGTATTTCTTAGTATACATACTATTAAGAAGGTGAGTTTTGTTGATGTAAATTATAACTGTTTATATACTTATAATTAATTTATTTTTGTTTCTTAAAATATTTTGACTGGCGGGTATTGTTTGCTTCCTTTCTAGCTAGATCATTTGCTTTTTTATTGCCTTCTATCCCATGGTGAGCGGACATCCAGAGTAAGAGGACTTTATTTTCTTTGCCTAATTTGTTGAGCTTCTGTAGACATCCTTTGACCAACTTCGAATTAATAGTTACTGAGTTGTTCGCGCTTAGTGCTGCTTGACTATCAGATAAGATGTATATTTCCTGTTTTCGATAGTTCCTATTTAAGACAAATTGTACCGATCTTTCGATAGCGTAGATTTCTGCTTGAAGGATGCTGGGGTAGGGGTGCCCATTTACAAATTTACTTATGGTGCTAATACCTAAGCTATAGTTAGGAGATCCTAGTAATTACAAAAAAAATTAGAGCTACAATTTAAAAATATTTTTACAAGGTATAGAGTGTCCCAAATAAAAAATATCAAAGTTGTGTTTTTTAAATAGAACACCCTGTTTATTATTACATTTTTAGTTTCTACGATTAAAATAAAAATCTAAAATGTCAATATTCCATTGGTATATTGACAAATGAGGTCTAAATTATAAGAAAGACAATTAAATTGAGCATCTGATTTTCATAAAATATGCAGGGTATTCCATTTAAATTAAATAAGTTATTAGCATTAAAAACTTTCATACCCTTGGAGAAATGAAGCCTTAAAAGTTTTACTACAATTTCACAAAATTGAATATATTTCAAAAACGGCAAGGTTTAAGTGTGATAAATCTTAATCAAATTTACCTTTATTTCAATAGTATAATCTAAAAATAAAATAATATACCGGGTGTTCTATTTAAAAAATACCACTATAACATTTTTTATTTATTTGGGACACTCTGTATCTTGTAAAAATATTTTTAAATTAGTGTAGCTCTAATAGTCCTTCAACGAACCCAAAACTTACAATTTGTAAAAATTTAATCATTTAGCTACAATACTCCGTGTCGTATGTGGTGAATAATGTATACCTGTATATCATTTTTTTTTTTTCGTAAATATTAATAAAGACAACGCAACAGGACAAAATACTAACAACCGGGTTAGCTTTTTGGCATTACCAACACATTCCAGCTAATTCATACATGATTAGCAAAACTTCTGGAGCTTAAAATATAGTGTTTAGGTTAGGTTAAGTTAGGTAGGGTGTAGAATATTACAAAAACCTACCAATTCTTGTAATATTCTACACTGACGGTATGCGGTATAAGTAAAATTAATTAGTAAAACTAAAACTTGAAAGAGTTATCTTTTAAATAACAGTTTTGAAACAATCCCTAAAAATGCTTCTGAATGTAATTAATTTTCCAAAAAAAACGCAACTTCCGAATTCCATCTAAATGGAAAATAACGACGACATGACAAATCACCGGTCAAAGAGAAAAAAAACGGAAAAAAATCGCCCTAAATCGGTCTCTTTCATATATCAGCGCCATTCGGTCCTATGCCACCTATCCCTTTTCGTTGGTTTATTTTGGACGCAAATCCCGCATGATTGACTTCCGCTTAATGAGTTCCAGGAAGACCCTGTCGATTTAATTGAGTCTATATATCATTGATGAGTATCTCTCACCGAAGAGTTGCGTGAAAGACATACTTTTCATTTATTATGCTGCTTATCCTCTTTAAGTTTTCGTGGAAAATATTCTTGTATCTTTTGAGTTGTCCACCCGGTTTCCTCTTACCGTCCGTAAGCACTGTAAAGAAGAGATTTTGGTTTTCTTGTATCCTGTATACGTGATCAGCCCATCTTAAGCGGGATTTAGTGATCATGACTTATTGACCGGTACCTTTGAGACATGGTCAAACCATTTGATTCTGAAGAGTTGTCTCTGTTACAGCTTGTTTAATGCGTTCATGTGTTGGCGGCACGGCACTCAAATTTCGCTTCCATATAACATGGTGGGGATTATTATTGCTCGGTATACTGCAAGTTTCGTTTTTGTGCTCAAATCATGACTGTAGAAAACCTTTTAAAAAACCGTCTTTTAATTTCCAGAATGCTCTTGAGACGCTGCTAATAATCTTGTGCTGAATTTTAGAGTCGATATTGGCCTTTTCCGAAATCAAATTGCCGAGGTAATTGAATTCCGCTACATATTCCAATAGTTCTTTATAGTTGTTAATATACATGTATCATTAAAAACTTTAAACTCAAAATGTTACTTAAAATAATTTTTACCACCACTACCATCAGCACCTCATTTATCGTACAGATTAAGTTTGATAGAAGAATCATCACCATTTGATGCAAAAGAAGATAATACCTCTTTTTGAGACTCTATCAATCTTCTTGAGGTATGGCTTAGTAATGATTGAAGATTAATCGTTGAAACCTTTTCCGAAATTCTCGTGCAATTTGGATAACAATTTGTTTTAGCCCTTTTTTCTTTTTTTTCTTTGCCAAAATATGCTTGTAACTGGAAAACACATAAGACTTTTTAATTTATTTCACTAATGAAAAGATTTTTTAATTCGTTATTTTTTAACTTCCATGTTCCTATACCTAAGATAAATCGTTTTTAAGTTATTTAAGATTTAATTTGAAAACGTATATTTAAATTGATTTTATCTAGCGTGTCAAACGGTTCGACAATTTATTTCCATCTGTCAGAAAACGAATTATTTAAATTTCTTATATTATAAATACTGCCTGCTCAAGAGTATAAAAAGTGTATTTATAAAAATCTCGTATTTTCGCTCTTTAGTGATGATCTCTTAAGTTGATATTATTAACTAGTTGAAGCTTGGCGCATCCGCCACGACATAAAAAAAAAACTTTTTATTTTTTGTTTAGTTAAATGAAAAACAAAAAATCCGGCGACGACAGTTTTTAGAAGAGCCAATTAGCTATATTTTAGTAAAAAAAGCAACTTTCTAGAGCAAGTCGTTACTTCAGTAGAGACGACACAGATAAACATTCATCATCATCATCGTTGTCCACTGCTGAACGTAGGCCTCCTCCATATTTCTCCATGTCTCTCGATTTTGGGCCGTCATCATCCAATTTCCAGCAATCCTCTTTACATCATCGGTCCAGCGTGTCGGTGGTCTGCCTCTGCTACGTTTATCTGCTCGAGGTCGCCATTCTAACAATCTTCTAGTCCACCTGTCTTTAGATGTTCTCGCCACATGACCTGCCCATCTCCATTTCATTCGAGTTACGTGTTCCACTATGTCTTTAATTTTGGTTTTTTGTCTGATAGTGTTATTAGGAATTTTGTCTCTTTTAGTTATTCCAAGCATGGCTCTCTCCATGGCTCTCTGGGCTACTCTTAAATTTTCTGCTGACTTTTTCGTTAATGTTAGAGTTTCCGCTCCATATGTAATTACCGGCAAGACGCATTGTTCATAAACTTTCCTCTTCAAGCATATAGGTATATCACTTTTAAAGGTCTCCCGCAGTTTGCCAAAAGCAGCCCAACCCAAACCTATTCTGCGCTGTATCTCGTGTATTTGGTTGTTCTTTCCGATTTGTATTTCGTGCCCTAGATATTTGTATATATGTGTTTCTTTTATGTCGGCGTCACCTATTCTGATGTTCTGTGTCAGCACTAAGTTTGTCATTATTTGCGTTTTACTCGTATTTATCCGGAGACCGACTTTTAATGAGGCCTGCACTAATTCTTCGAGCATCTGCTTTGAATCTCCGATGTTATCTGAGACAAGGACGATGTCATCTGCGAATCTGAGATGTGTCAACCTTTCACCATCGATATTTATGCCTCTATTCTCCCAAGAGAGTGATTTCATTGCGTATTCAAGGACAGCTGTAAAAAGTTTAGGCGAAATAGTATACCCTTGTCGAACTCCTTTGCCTACCTCAATTTTATCTGTTGTTTCGTGAAGTTTTACAGTTGTGGTGGCATTACTATATATGTATTCTATAAGCCTTGTATACCTATAATCTACTCTTCCCTGCTCCAATGCTGCTATTATTGATGTTAATTCTACTGTGTCAAATGCTTTCTGGAAATCAACGAACACCAATGCTAGAGGCCTGTTGTATTCTACAGATTTTGGTAAACAGCTTATACAAGTGACAAAGAAGGCTTATCGGTCTATAATTTTCAGGCTGGGTGATATCGCCCTTTTTATGGAGAAGTATCGTTATGGCGTTGTTCCATTGAGACGGGATTATTCCTTTTTTTTAGACAGATAAACATTAGCATTTTATATATGTAGATAATATTCTGTATGATCGAAAAAAAAACAGCGCAAAGTTTGCTCGGAAATGATGCTGCTTTTTGAACAAAGCGTCACAATATGACTTCATTATGACTTGGTCAGATCTATTGTTTTACATCACTTGACGTTCATTGAAGTTTACAGTCATAGGCTACTGGTTAAAATCAAGAAAAATATACGCTTTAAAACTAAATCTTAAATAACTTTAAAACGTTTTATTTTAGGTATAGGAACTTGTATAGTCAAAAAGTAACGAATTGAAAAGTCTTTTCACTAGTGAAATAAAAAAAAAGTGGGTTTTCATTTGAAAAAAATGATTTATGATAATTTTTTAATCGCTCAATTCTATGACAGCTGTGGCCATTATTATATGACATTCAAACAATTTAATTTTTGAAACAGATAGCCACATGTTTTCTCTTTATGGCACAGTGGCTGTGGTAATCACTCTATTTGACGTTTAGGGTATACACATATTTTTGACAGGCAGTTTTTTTCTTTCAAAAATTTTAGATATTTCTTTTCTTAAAAACGGCCAATGTTAGATATAGAGTGATTAATATCAAAATTCATAAAATTTTACAGATAATTTGAGTATGTAATAGAAAATGGGGGCACCCATTTAAAATAAGAAAGTTGCTGTCAACTTCCGGTATTTCCGGAAGTACCGCCATATTGAAAATATTTTTACTCGATAGATCTCCTTGTGAAACTATGATGTGCAAAAAATCTCCGATCTAGATATTTCTATTGCACGCGCAGCCTGGGACACCCTGTAAATGATTAAAAAATAATTGTTGCATTTTTATATCAATTGGAATGTCTACTATTGATTCTTACACATTTTTTGGATTATTTCTAAGAAAACGGTTTTGTCCCGCTAGAATTACCATCCGCCGCGCCGACGCAGGCGCCTGTACCGTACGACGGCTATATGGTTCCGGCAAGTGTGCAATGACTTTTACAGCCCTTAAGTGATAGCATTAAAATCAGAATAATTAACCAGCCATTTAAATGAACACTAATGATATTCTACGATAAAAATGATTAAAAATATACACATAGTATTTCTGCCAACTTTAACCGATTTCTCAAACTAAATATAAAAAAATAAAAATATATATAAGAGAAAATATTGGATAAAGCAATTTTATTGTATTCCCACCGCAATTAAAGTAATTCTTTCGGATGCGGTCTGACTCTCCTAAAGCGACCGTCTAAACTGATACATTTGCCGAGGCATCGCTGTATAGACGTAATAACTGAGATAGTATAGAAAAGTCCCAAAGGAGTGCTGAAGAATAACCCGTTATCGGGGGAAATATAGAGATCCTGTAGTATTGTTGCGGATCAAGTTTTTCCTTTAATATCTTGAATGGACGGAAACGCGATTAACCAGATAATAAAAGGTAATAAATATTGTATTGAAAAGGAGGACCGATTTGCGGTTTTTATATATTTTTCTGGTGCATATTTCATACAATAATAATTGTTACATATTAAGTGCACCAATAAAGTAAACATATAGTCTAAGAGCTAGCTTAAGAAAGCTGGCTCTTTGATATATCTTTTACTATGCTCACTGGAACAGCATGCGGGCCGTCTGGGCCGGAACTCTGTAACTAAATAGCGATCGGTAGCGAGTTGCGATGAAGAATACTGACCTTGGCCGTACAAACTAAATGGCAAGCGACAGTATTGTTCACCGCTACCGATCGCTATTTCGTTACAGAGTTCCACCCTTGACTACCGATACACGTTGCGTTTGATTTGGCACCTTCACTACTGCGCGTCGGGAAAAGATTATATTTTTTTCATTTAGTTCCTTAAATTCCAGTATTGAATATAATCGAGCAGTGTTTATATTTTCATATGGGTGTTATATTTCATATGGCATTGTAGAGAGTAAATGTTTCTCAATGCAATGCCAAAAATTATTTTTCTACGACTAGCTTAAAAAATGCAGTTTGACACACGAAAATCTCGATCTGAAATTGGCGTTTTGCAGACATGTGCCAGTTTTAACATTTTTAACCTCCAATGTTTAGCTGAAACGCCAAACGCAACGCAGCCGTCAGAAACGTGTCATCATTACATCGCAAATTATTTCACAAATTGTAACAGTTAAATTTCATCGCTACGACCTCTTTGTGCTAGCTCATAAATTATATTATTTTTGCATCATGTTTACTAGAATTTTATTGTTAAATATTATTTTATTTAAATTTTACGATTATGCAACCCGATATACACCGCGATATTATAAAGCTACAGCTACACAATATTGTCACTGACCCAGCATTAGAATTTTTGTCTACCTCTCTTTATCGTTGATCATCACCTGTCCGCAGTGTTACCAGATTGGGCCATTTATCACAAATTGGGCGATTTTCCGATTGTTCTGGCGACCTGAAATTTAGGAAAATCGCAAGTCGCCATTTGGGCGATTTTGGCTAAGATACTTATGGCACCAGTCAATCAATGCATTGCCAATATTGACACTTAATTCTTGTAATTATTATAGACATCGATTCCCGAAACGGCGAAAATCGCAATTACATATTCGTAGATCAATATTCGAAGATATCGATTTATATTGCTCATCTATCAACTGCAACTGGCGTTTGTGACTTCAGTTTAGTTCTCAGTATGTTCTCAGCACGTTTCCAGTCTGCCATTTTTCCCCTTTGTGACGTCATCAAACCACTTATAATCACAATATCTACATGAAGTAACGACTTGCTCTAGAAAGTTGCTTTTTTTACTAAAAGATAGCTAATTGGCTCTTCTAAAAACTGTCGTCGCCGGATTTTTTGTTTTTCATTTAATTAAAAAAAAGTATTTTTTTCTCCTTATGTCGTGGCGCGCGGATGCGTCAGGCTTCAACTAGTGAGTGATATTTTGAATTGTGATAGGTATAATCCTTGTATAATGAAATAGTCGCTTGAGATTTTTGTAGGTTTAGTATAAAACCATTTGGCGACTTTTATTTTATTTTGGCGACTTTCGCCACCTCTAGTGGAGACCAGCTAAAATAATATCTGGCAACACTGCCTGTCCGTCACTTGTCACTGTCAGATCAAATCAGATGTTTTTGGATTTATTTATCCTTTGTTTTGGTTATTGAAATTTTATAATTATCAGATAAAATTTCGTAGTTAAATTGTTTATTTTTGATGTGGATCGCAATGTGCAGTTCGTTCATTTTAATTGTGGAATTTCTGAGTTAAGTTCGTTCATTGACCGGATATGAAATATGGCTGTGGAAAATATTCTAGAACATCGTTTTTTATTTATTGTGTGAGTTGGACTAGTTTTTGTGAGTTGGACTAGTCGAGATATATAGTTCTCTATCTATATCCTGGAGGGAGATTTCCGGTTGAAATATGATTTTGTGAAGGAAATCGAATTCTTGCATCACTTCTTGTGTATTTCCCGACCGAAGAACATCGTGTGAAGAACTGGCTGCCTGTTTCGTGATTACCCTGTTGGTAATTAGCAGGTCTTCTTAGAGAAGGACTAAGTCTTCCGAAACACATTTGGATAGAGACGTGGTTGGATTTTGTTGAATTTGTATGACCACCGACCAAATTTCCGTCAAGGGATTAAATAGCCGAATTTTCACCCGTTGTTCCGATTGCACGTGCCCAAGAAGTCCCCGAGAGTTCCAAGAGCAAGAAGACCGATCTAGACCGTAGCACAGAACAGTCCAGAATTCCATCCGTTCCTGTTGTCCGTGTAGAGGTACCCGTTGGACATCATAAACCCTCGTTGGGGGTTTTTTATGTCACCTTTTGAAGTCCTACACCTGCCTTGCATCTGTACCTCCGCTGACATCCGTGGGCTCCAGTGACATTGTATCGAGCTACTGTACACTGTCGTAGCCACCCTGTAGCTATACACCGTAGCTCAGCCGGAGAAAGTTTTCAAGTACAATCGAATAGAGTAAGACTGTACAATTTTAGTTTAGATTAGTATAATATAGATTTCATTTATGTTCTGTTTGTATCTAGTATTAAGTTAGATAAGGGGGTTTGACGTCATAGATTTAGTTATTTTGTTTGATTTAAATTCTAATTTCTTTTCTCACCATTCAATTTGCTTATCTTAACATATTTCATTTTACATTTAATTCATTTTTTTTATATATAAACTTTTTCATATTTTAATAAATTGCTTAAATATTTTTACTAATATTATTTACAGTCTAGTCTCATAGTTAAGTTAGAGTCACTTAAGTTTAACGAATTATAGTAATATTTGAAGTTCATGGTAGTTGCACTCAACAGTTCGAGGTTAGTGTTGAAGTCTACTTAATAGTAACATCTTTTATGCCGAGTTCATAGAGTATAATCTCGTGGCGCCCTTTTATTAATATCTTTGAACCCCGACCACCCGGCTGTTAAAATTAAAAAGCTAGTGGCCTCTATGCAACTCATTAGCGATTAAGTAAACTTATATTTTGTTGAACTTCAAATTAGAAAAGGGCGCTGCAAAATCTGGCAAAAACTAGTCTGCTGCTAATTTGTAGTCGTAGAAAAAATAGCGTAAAAAACTCGTTCGAAAACTTCTTTGTACACTCGTTCGATTTGTGGCTCTTGCCTGCGGCTTGAGCCAACAAACTGTCGAACTCGTGTGCAAAACGTCGTTTTCGAAACTGCCGTTGTTTAATATATTGTTATATATCGTTGGAATTTTTTGGAATCGTTTTTAGTTTTTAGCTAAAAACCATAATTTCTTGATAATATAGCAACATAGGTAGTAGAACAAATTTACAAGAAAGAAAACCCAGAACAGATCCAGCGGTTCTCAAAATTTAAGC